CAAAATTTGCAGGCTTTGTTACGCTTCATAAAGAAGTGTACGCTAGGTAAGGATCATGGCAGCGGGAATTTTGTGGATATCTCCAAGATCGCTAATTCATCAATTCGGTCATACACGCTGGAGAACGGAAAATCCATAGCTTTGAGCAAAATTTGTTTTCGACTCTTGTTTCTTAAAATTTTCCGACCAACAAACTCTCAGAAGAAATGAAAATCCTTTTGTGCCTATCTATAGACATCTGTCACAATAAGTAGGGAGCATAATGTGCCTATAGAACTGATTGAGCTCGTGATACTGACAGCGTTTGCTTTGGTGTCGCAAGGGTTTTTACAATGTTTACAGAGCATCATACTGCGTCTGCTGTTTGTCAAACTTCGGAGCAAACCATTTCGGTGCTCCGTTTCTTCCATTTACGGTCGCGAAAATCCATCTTTTTCCGAACTTCAGAATAATCCAAATTAATGGGTATGCAGTTTGATCATTACTGATATTTCTTTGTGCCATAATCAAGCCCATTAGAGTTTGTGGGAGAAGTCAGGAGGGAAATGTTCGAACGCTCATCACGATACGGAAATGTGGATCGTAGGACAACTTGGGGAGCCACTTATAAGCGAATGTTTCGTTCCGTTTATCCTCCGAAACCATGGCAGCAGGTGGAAGACCGAGCATTCAAGTGAGTCACCCTGCATAAGACATAATCCTAAGATGTTCGCTTCTCCGAGTCTAATCTTTTGAACATAACTTCCTCACTCAGAGTATGCAATACATTCCTCATTCACAGACAAATTGAATAGAATCAAACAAGTTATTGTAATGTTTCATTATCTTCTAAAACCCGAAACTTCAAAAGGTTTCTTGTTTGTGTGAAGGAAATGCAAAGCCATATAGTAGAATGAGTTTTGAAAAGTATGCTTTTTGGGCCAATTTACTTAAGATCTCAATTTTCACATAAAACATTGACGTTAAGCAAGTTTAACGAGGAGGATGTGCATGAATACAGATCCGAAAGAAGTATTTGTACTGAATTGCTAGATAGTGATGACCTTCGCTACAACTTTCTCACATGTCTACTAATTTCCCAGTTTTACTGATTTGTGTTGCTAACAATACCATTTTTCCAGAGATAAATCTAGGCAACCAGACCGTAATAACTCATTTCAGGGTTTTAAAGAACAAAAAAGGCGTGTGCTTACGTCAAATTGGCATTTATTGTCTTTTTTGTGGATACAAGTCAAAGATTTCGAAATTTTGAAGGCTTCACTTGTCAGGATTTCTAAGGCTACCTTTGATGCTAGTATGTATTTAGCTATGAAAGAGTTCATATCATTATTGAAAATTGTAGTCTTCTTCCTACGAATC